GGATGCGGAGCGGTGCCGCTGGGCTGTTTTTGGAGGAGGGATGCGGAGCGGTGTCGCTGGGCTGTTTTTGGAGGAGGGATGCGGAGCGGTGTCGCTGGGCTGTTTTTGGAGGAGGGATGCGGAGCGGTGCCGCTGGGCTGTTTTTGGAGGAGGGATGCGGAGCGGTGCCCTGAGAGCATCCCCTCTTGCGGCCGCGCCGCGCCACGGCAGCCCTGCCGCCCTCCGCTCCGCACTATCCCCGTGTCGTCGCGTCCGAAGGACAAAGAGGCTTTTTCTACCTAAAACGGCCTTGTCTAAGATTCTCGGAGGTTCTTTCTCTCTGTCTCGCTCCGGTTTCCCATGCTTTTCAAAGCAACCGATGTTGGTGCCCGACCAGGATCTGGGTTCTCTCGGTGGGTGTAAGAACAAGCTGCTAAGCGGACTAACATTTGATCTCCTCTTTTCCAAAAGCTTCTGCTTTGTGCCAGGCACTGTACACACTGCATTGATTCGGGAGGCTCAATCTATTTATTTCACAAATTTCACAAATTAATTTCCGGGCCTCTAAAGGTGACGGGCTCAGCTGGTACAGGAATGAATGAGCTGTTATCTGCTGCCTGCGCGGCTGTGACACGGTGCTCAGGCCTCCGCTCTACTCCTCCAAGTGCAGCAGCCTCTGCCTGTTTCTATCTAAAGGCACTTTTCTATCAAAAGCCTTATTACTCTTCCATAGCATCCGTCTGATCTGTGGTCCATGCTGCCGGTGGTGTCAGACCCTCGCTGCAGCAATCAAAGCAGCTCAGGAGGTTCTAATAAATGGCTCAATCCCAAGCTTAAAAGCTAAACAGCTCCTCCAAAATGATAATCCCAACTCAAAACTGCAAACTGTGCTGATGCTGCTGGGAAAGGGGGAATTTTGTGCAGCATGTCACTCATTTTTAAGAGCTCATTATTCAGAGACCAGATGTTTTTCACCACAATTTCCCTTTTTCAGTTTTGTTTGTTTGCTTCTTGTTGTTGTTTTGGGGATTTTTTTTGTTTGTTTCTTCATTTAGTTTTTCCCTTGTACTGCACAAAGAATGAAAGACTTCCATCCAAAAAGCATGATAAAAATTGAGAATACCATGTACCTTTGCAAAAAGCATAGCTTCAAAAATGACCTTTTTTCTCTTTGCCTGGAAAGGGAAAACATGCTAAAAAGCAAATGAAGATTGAGCCGATTCTGATATCTTGAAGAGGCAGACAGAACAGAATAATTCTACTTAAGGTTTTAAGAATTTTGTATTTTATCTCTTTTGGCTGCAGCCAAACAGTCCTAGTGGAAGACTGGGTGGATAAACAGAAAAAAACAAGAAGAAAATACTGCAAAACTTTGTTTTAAAACAGTACTTGTAATATTGACTGGCTCTCATGAATACTTTCCATTTCCAGATTAAGCTTTAAGCATGTTATTAAATACTTTGTGGCATTAGGGATTCCATCCAAGAGCAGACAGTTACCAGAAGAGCAGAACAAGACAGGAAAGCTCTCTCAGATACAGGGAACAGCCCCAAACTCACTGTCTCTCCCCAGCCACATCAAGCATCATTCATTGCTTAGCCCTGTTAAAAACAAGTTTATCTTCAAACACACATTGCTGTATTGATTAAACCCTGACTTATCCAAAGCTGATGGAAGTCTTGAAGCTCATTCTACTGTCTGCCTGCTCATTTTTATGATGTGTCCTTCATCTTTGTGTTCAAAACATCCACTCCACCACACCTTCTTCCCATCCCAGTCTCAGGATCACCCAGCCCTGTCCCTCTGCTTGTGAACCTCAGGCACATTTTTTGCTTTAAATAAGCTCATGATCAGAAATGTAGCTTTAAACTGAATGTTAGCTCACACCAGTGGAAAGAAGAGTACTGGAAAATCACATATACTGGAATGTTGTCTGGTAGCTGTGCAGCACTGTAGAGATGAATGAACTAGTGCACGTACCATACATCACACACTGTTCGAATGGTTTCTGATCAGAGGCATCTCACAACTGACCAGCAAACCTGCTGGGGGCTAAAGTGTCCAGGACACCTAGCAACAGCCTTCCTCCAACTTTATCACTGGCAGGAACATTTAAGAGTCTACCTCTGTTTGCCTCTAGCATCCACAGAAGTTGAAGAAATTCTGTCAATTGGGGAGCCAAATCCTGGGAAGCTTCTTTTCTTCTTGGTCTCAGTCACCTCGTTCTCCAAAGACACCAAGTCATCAAGAAGGAACAGTTTGGCTGCCAGGTTGGTGGCTGACTTCTCTCCACTGCCTGTGGAATGGTCTCCCACGCCCAGAGCAGCAGAAGGCTCCAGAGGCTGCAAAAGAAAGCAGTATGTGCTGGTTTGTTTTTTTTTTTTTACTTAATTACAACATTAGTTTTAACACCACTTCAAAACCAAACTTTTCTATAAGAATAGCTGAGAATAGTGGGGTCTATTGGGAAAGAAATGAAACTAATCAAAGTGAAATAATTGTTTTGCATGTAACAGAAAAATACAGGGCAGCAGTTAGTCTACAAATGAAATGCACCTTTTTGTTCACTTGATCATCACAGAATTAGATAGAAACATTACAGCTTGCACCATCAAACAGGTTTTATTCTGTCTTTACAAGCACACCACTACTGTTGTTATTCCCACATGGTGGGTTTAGCACACGTGTGAAGGAAGGCAGCACATGGATGACACAATATCCTTGTCTACTCCAGCTGTGGTGGGGATGCTCCCCACTCTTGATGGGTGGCAGACAGTGATGGAGTGTATAAAACTGACCTTTATATGAGGAGGAGCACATGACCACAATGATCACACCAATGGTGTAGCACTGTTGAAACCTTTATAAAGGATCTCACATTGCCCCCTGGCTCTGCTTTTTGTGAGCCTCAGGTACACAGAACAGTCCTCTCTGTTCTCCTTTAGGGTTATAAAACTTCCATAGAGGTATGCAACTGAATGTTGCCTTTAAAAAAGACAGCTCTTCCTTCTGGTTAGCGGGGATAAATATCTACAGTTGAAACTAGAAGGGCAAAAAAGAGACTCTGCTCTTGAATACCTTGCAACTCCATTTACTTTGTCTTCAAAAGATATAATAGAATTGTAAGAAGTAAAGTGACAGCTAAAATGATAATCAGAAGTAGAAAACAGTTTTCTTCTGGTGAAGCACTGAACAAAGTACAATTTCACAGATAAGCAGAGATGAGAGTGGGTGTAGGTGGTATAGTGGAGGGTTTGCAAACTCAGGAACAGCCATGAAATGAATAAAAACTAGTAATTTTTTCCTCAAGAGAAAGAGCTTCCCAGTCCACCCAGTGAAGTTACCAGATGGTGGATTTAAAATAAATATAAGGAGTTACTTTTTAAACACAGCACACAGATGAAGTGGAATACGTTGCCAAAGAACATTGTGGATACTGAGATTTTAAACTGGTTCAAAGACAAATTCTGGCCCATCAGCAGCTAAAATATGCCCTGGTCCAGTGCAGGTCTCTAGATCTAGAAGTCTGCAGGGATGTTCTGTTCCTATATCATTTTCACAAAAATCTATCAGTGATGGAGGCAGGATACCAGGTGTCCATGGCACCAGAACAGCAGCTACTGCAGCACTTTTGGAGAATCAGGTCATGCTTAAGTGAAGACAGAGAGAAAGGTAGAAGGATCCATCAGTATTCTTCAGTAGCCATCTAATGCTTAAGTTATCTTAAAACCGATGTAAAAACCCTAGAGGCAAACAGTGCTACTTTGAGAAAACTTTTAGATAGTTGATTTTTTTTTTTTTATGGCATGAAACCATTACATAAATATCTTTAGTGCCAAATCTGCCTTATGTCAAGATGACATAAAATTAGGGAATGCAGGAGAAGTATTTCCAGGTGCAACCTCTACATATCATCCCAGGTGAAACATGAGACAGCTCATCCATTTCATCTCCTGCTTTCCTTCGCAAGCTTAGGCAAGTGATTTTGCTCCTTCCCCCTCCTGGTCTAGTCCATCTTCTTTAATTTGTAATTTTTGTGCCAGCGATCTTCTCCCAGGGATCTCCTTATGGCTTCTGAAAGCTGCAGCTTTCTCATGCTATTATTTGTCTTTAAGAAGAAGAATTAAACTTTTCCTTTAGAGATATTTTCTTTTCCCTTTGCCATCACCTCCTTTCTCTCTTCAGGAAGTTCTCTATCCACTGGACAATGTTTTAACACACAGGAAGTCCCCAGATGTTTTGGGAGGGGCTGTGAGAATTTGGGTGAGGCCTCATTCTGTCTGTCCCCCCAGAGCCATACAATTTGCATCTCTCTCTTCTTGAGGCTCCTCCTTGGCCCTTACAGAGTCAATACCGATCCTTCACCTTCCAGCTGTGTTTGGATACTCCAGTGTCATCCTCATGCTGTGGCTAAAAACGCCCAAGGAAGAGCAGTTACCTGACAAGCACCAGAAACCTTCACCTACCTCTGGAGCCGCCTCTGCAAGGAGCACAGAGCTGGAGTTCCACCACAGCAGGGCAATCACAAGGGCCAAATGCACCACCATGAGCTGGAACTGCAGCATCTGCAAAGGAGAACAATCCATAAATGACTCCACAGCTGCATCCCCTGAGGAATCTTGCTCCACAGGCCTTAAAGAAGTAAAAACAAAGGGAGACTCTCTCCATGACTGTTAAGAAGTTTTATCTGTCACTGTATAAAGCCTGGCAACCAGATAACACCAGCTGAATGCTCCTCAGCCTTGCATGCAGAATGAGCTCCCTCCTCTGCTCCTTCCTGTACAGCCCTGCCAATCTCTTCACTCCTTTCTGCACAGTGGTGCAATCCTTGCAGCAGCAGCAGTGAGGAATGCAAACTTGCCTTCAAACCAGATGAACTGGATGCTCACTTGTAAGCAGGGAGACTCTGGCTTGTAGCCCAGGCTGACCCTGACCTCCCCACATGCTGGAGAAGTGCTTAAAGCTGTGACAGAAGTCATATACCCCTCCAGTAATATTTTGAAGGCAAGGCTGCATTTTGCTAATTCTCAACACAATCTAGTGGGAGCCACAACTTCCAATGGCATTCTGCAATGCAATTATTCACAATAAGCTTGCAAAGGGATGTGTTGCTGAGACTGGTGGCGATCTGGCCATGTGTCACAGCTGCAGAACTGTAGATGCCCACCAAGCCTTTAAATAATGCAGGGAGTTTTGGGAGATTCAGGATGGGGAAGGTGCTTGCTTACCTCTGGACATAGGTTTAGCCTACATTTGTTTAAGCCCTTGTTTGGATCTAGATCTTAAAACCTGATGTGCCTCCAATTCCCCAGGTGGGAATGTTACAGATCACATTAGGAAGAGCTGTGCTGGGACCTTTTGCCAAAGGCATCTGATAATTTGATTTCACTGTCTCCAGGTCCTGTCCCAGAGTGTAATTCAAGTCTGATTCTTCCATTCTTTGCTGACTCTCCACTTGGCAAAAGCAGAAATGCAAAGAGTGTATGAATATAAATACACATATATAATTAATATCACTATTGTCCACAAGGCATGGGCAGTTAGGAAGAAGGCTGCTGGTTGTGCTGTAGGGGTAAGGCAGACAGCTCACCAGAATCAAAGGACAAAGTCAAAGCACTAAGCCAGGCGGTACCACTGCCTCAGTGCCATTGCTTGACATAAACACAGGGGTCTGTCTGAGTGGTTTTAAAGCTGTAACCCTCTACAACGTATATTTTTGTATGTGGGTGTGCATTGAAATTTGAAGTAGCAGTCTACTACCTTCACAGGTAACCACATCCTGATTACTTGGATACAGAGATGTAAAAATAAATGGGCAAGGTTAAAAATGTGTTTATTATGGTTTAAGATCTGTGCTGGTACTCATTCAACTCAAAGACTAAAGAGCTAAAAGTAGCAACTGGTACACTAAGGAAAATAAACAGTAAGGCACATGCAACGCTTAAGATATTTGATTAACTGGTCAGAACTCAAAGCCAGTGAAATTAGAAGCAGAGGAAATTGTAAGGACTTAAAGCTTGGCTCTACTTCTTAACGAAATAAGCAGCTAAAGAGGTGGTGTCGCTGACTGAAAAGGGAGCAAAACTTAAGTCCAGCAAGACCCTGTTGTACTGATTGTCATGCAGCAGTGGGACCAAGGCAGAAGAAAAAGGCAAGGTTATTGTAGTGGAACAGTTTGGCTTTAGAAAAGCAATTGCAAAACTAATGATGCAGTGAGGACTATGTAAATACAATTAAAATCACACTTTCTTATGCCACTTTCTTCTGGGACTTAGTTTTACCTGATTCAGCCTTGTCATAGGACCTTAGTTGTTAAAAGAAGTTATTGGTATTTCTCCTTGAGCTCATTTGCAATTACCCAAGCAGAGCCCTCTGGCCAAAAAGGGGTTTTCCCAGTCATGCACTGGCTATTGCTTCACCCCATCCATATTTTACTTTGACACATTCCAAGAGAGGCTTTAAGAGAGGCTGGACAGTATTTTTTACTGAAGGAGAACAAGCAAAGCTCTGACAAGCTTTTCAAGATGCACCCTTACTATATGTATTGAAATTCCATCCTTACAGAAAATTCTTCACCACCAACTTCACAGAGCTAGGTCAAGAGATTGGTGTATAATTCCATGTCTGTAGTATCTCAGGGTCTTGTGTTATCTGACATAAAATATGGTTTTCCCTTCTCCAAATGTAATTGCAAGTCTGAAATCCAGACACATTTATGTGTCTTAGCAATACTTTAGCTTGAAATGTGTCAAAACTAAAATTCCTCATATAATTAGGTATCTTTGTTGCAGGTCCAATTAAAATAAAACTAAAAATAAAAGAAAGAACAGTGTTCTACCTTATCAAAGTAGGATAAACATACAAAACTTTTACTTAGGAACCTGTGCAGAGCCATTTTCCAAGAAAAGATCACAAGAAAGCAAAACGCTTTACCAACAGAAACCGTTGAGTCTCCGACATCAAACCAAAGGACTTGAAAGATGTTTTTCTTACAAAGAAAAAAACAAAACCCAAAATGACATCCTGAAGATAAGTGGGCTGAACAAACCCCAGACAGAATGCAATTCATCAACCAAGCTCCAAACCCATTGCCTGTCAAAAATGGTAACAGCCATCATTGTTCTTACCCATTTGAACTACGGTATTTCACATTACTGTGGAGATTACTCTGCAAGCATAAATCACAAGGGACTTATTTTTCTTCCTGGCCTGTTTGCAAGAGAACCGAGGCAAGACATCATGCCTTGCACTGCAATCCTTCACTCCAGCTGCCAGTCTGTATTGATGGCTGTGCTCTGCTTGCTGCTGCACAGCACGGGACGTGCCCCAGTCACCTGCAAACGAGGACCTTGCCCTTGCAATGAGAACCTTGTGGCAAGCCTTGAAACCCCTGAGGTTTTGCCCTGGCTGCTACCAAAATGACCTGATGCAGAGCCAAGGTTTAGCTGTCCCACAGGCAGTGGGAACATCCTGGCAGTGTCTCTTTGGCCTCCAGTGCTCCTCTTGTAACACTGGGGTAGCCCTGGGAAGCCTTCATCATCTGTTAGGCAGGAAAGTCTCTGGGACTGGGCAGATTCCAGCCATGTGAGGGAAATCAGGGCTGTCTGTGTCTGCAGGCCAGTTATTGAGCTATTTTGTTACTGCTCAAGCACCACAAAATAGAATATTAACTGCTGCTACCTATCTTAATCAAATTGATTAATTAAATTGATACTCACACTGGCCTTGCCATGCTCGTGTTGTACACCTGATGGGAATATACAAAACATTTGTGATGGATGATTATCTTTCCAAAAGAACAACTGTGGCAAGCTCTAAGAAGTCTTCTCCTGCTGGAACAGCCTTACTTTTAAAAGTCATAAAAGGTATCCTCTAATTATGTGCATCACCACAAAGCCAAAAGCACTGCCCCTACCACCAGTCCTAGTGATTTCAGAACTGCTGAAGGACCCTGTGCTTCTCAGGTACAGTCTTATAGTTATGTAAATGTCAAGGAAAAGGAAACAAAATCAAAACGAATCCCACCCTCAGGATAAAAAGCAGAGCTCAAGAATAGGTTAGAGTGGTGTTTTTGCTCTAATCCCTCAGATGAGATATGGAGCATTTCTCACATACTGCTTTCTATAAGACACTGAAGCCGCACATTGAAACAGAACTTTTGTGACAAAATGAAATGTAAGCTGTCAGTGTCAGGCCCTTAATGTTATTAATAATGTGTTTTCTGTTATTAATATTGTGTTTTCTGGAGTAGGTGTAGCTTTTTAAACAATGCCATATATTTTGTTATACACGGTACAGACACTGACAACTTCTGCAATGTGTATTTCCTTCTGTTTTCAGTTTCCTGAATATAAATAATTAGAGGCAGGTAGGTTTCATCTAGTGGAACCAGAGAGAACTTAAAATTCATAAACTTATGCAAGAGGCCTATGATTAGTTATTTTGAGATAACTAAACAAACCCAAACAAAACTTTTGTCAGACAATATATCAAAGCATGTACCACTTCCTGAAAATGAAGTTCCTTCTCAAGGCAGTCAAGATTCATTGATTGATTTGCAAAGTCTTCATTTCAATAATCTCATTCCCTGTCACATGATTTCCAGTGTTTGGTCCTGACATGTTGTCACATCACCTCTTTAGTCACCTGTGCCTGTTAGACAGCTGAGCTTTGGCTCCGAAGATGCTCGAGCACACAGCTGTTCCTACCACTTGTACTCAGATAAAACAGAGTTTTATGTCATGGTTTCAGTCATGGTTTAGTCACTGCAGGGCTCACCTGGACCCTGCCCACACAGGACACGACGTCTGTGGGAGCAGCACTTGCATCATGTGAAGAAGGGATGGAAAGGTGATGCTCTAATTCCCAGGAGGAGTTCAAGAAGTGCATTAATGAACACAGCCCTGCCAGGGCACCTCTGCTGAACAGACACCAGCATGATTCAGGAGCAAATTAACTGACAGACACTTGTGAAAGGCTAGTCAGTGATGGTTCTCATCTTTCCCCTTGAAAACAGGGAGTGAAACCAAATGGTCATACAGAACAAATGAGGACAATTTTCTTTAGAATGGGCAGGAAGGACGCAGTTTGGACATCTTGCAAAGCTGGCTACACTTTTACACTATTACACTATACAATAAATCAATTTTTAGAAGCAGATTTCAAAAACTAAAGACCCCAAACTCACATACATATCATAAAAGTAGGAGACCATGAAGCAACAGACAAACAGAAGTGATGAAGCCCATGTAGAAGCAGAGGGGCTATTGAAAAAGAAGGATGCCATGAAGTGTAAGAAAATATCTCTTAGTGGGAAAAACCTAATTGCACCTTTCCTCAAAAGATAATTGAGTGAACTGCAGTGTTCCTGGTATGCACAATGGAAAACAAAACATTATTAAGCTATTCTTCATTGCCAACAAATTCTCAATCCTACACTATTTATATATGTACTGACTAAATATGCCAATTTTTCTTAACATTTCTAATAACTTGACATTCAGCTTTCTTTCTTCTTTACCACAAGAGCAAAAAACTTTTCACTGTTAGAGTGCCATCTTCAGCATTTGAAGCAAAAATGAGAAACCTTTCCATCAAGAAAAATCCAGAAATCTTCACACCAAGTATAAAGAGTATATTAACAAAATAAGTTATCAGTATAAAACCAGACCATTTAAAGCATAATAAAAAGATCCCTCAATATAAGCTTTTAAGAGACAAGACTGGCATTGGAATTTCTTAAAAAGATTCAAACATTGATTTACTGGATAAACACTTAAACATTCTGATCAAGGCTATTACTTGGAGAAGAAAGTCTTGGGGGAAATGCATTGCAAATGTAAATTAGAGAGTAACTCATCTCTCTGAGTTAAGTAAGAAGAAAAGGAAAGCTGCAAGCACTTGCAACCTTTGTCAGGGTCTAGCAACAGAGCTCTTACAACTGTTTTATGTTTTAATTGGCTATTCAAGAAGCCCAGAAAGGCATTTGTCATTAATTCAAAGAGTGAAAACAAAGTCCTAATCTGCTGAAATCAGATTGGCAGGTATTTATGAAAAATTAAGAATGCCTGGTCCAGTCAGATACATTTTGCAGTTTCCCCATCATTTACACCATAGATTTGTGTGATTTGAACAGGGGTTTTTTGCCTGTTATTTCTCATAATGTTCAAAGTATTTTACAGGAAAAGTAGATTGAGCTGCATTTTGAATACAGGTGAGCAGAGACAGATAAATGCAATAATGTTTCCTGAGTCAAGCAGTGGGCAGAGGCACGAAATGCCCTCTCAGCTCCTCAGCTTTCAGCTCTGCCCTCCCCATGAGAGAACAGTGACTTCAAACTGAAAAAAACAAGTAAGGAAAACTGAGGGCACTGCATGCTAGTGCTTCAAAAATTAGATTCTGAACTTTACTGTAGCCTCTGGACATCTAAACCAAACATCATTTGCATGTATTTACTTGTACAACTTCAGCGTAGGAGGAAAAAAAAAGTGAAATAGTTTTGAACTCAGAATGGAGAAATTACAATGACTATCACAGAATCAGTCTGCCTTCACTTACAGGGGTACAAAACTGAACTAGTCAGATCACTGGATAATGATAATTGCTCTGTCAGTGTTGGAATGTTTTTGCAGTTATTCTATTATTGCAGGAATGCAGCAGAATCTGCATCAACATTTATCTAATATGGGATATAGTAAAACCCTTTTGCAGATCCAAAATTGCAGATAGGGTCCAAAAACCCTAATTTTCCTAAATCATTTATCTCATGTTTTCCAATATGTTAGATGTAGCAAACTTGTCTACCACATATGATATCTAGTAATGTAAAAGAATTATTCTGTCACAACTCTTCAGCTTATTTTAAGAAGTAATATACATTTGACAATAACTTACACAAAAGGAAAATCCATAACAGTATAAACAGTCAGCAATTTACTGCAAAGCACTGCAAGAGCATAAAAGTAATTTGCCACTGTTGTAAAATGCACTGACATTCTGTTTAAATATTGACTGATTAACTGAAGGAAATAAGTTTCCACTGAATATTTGTAACTCAGTTTTAATATACCAAAAATCCTAGGTGATAGGCACCTTATTTTCTTAATTCCAAACTGGAAAAAGTAGTTGTGCTTTTCCCATCAGATCTGGGCATCTTTATACATTTTGCATGTCTGTTAATAAAATAAAAAGAAAAAAATGAAGAAAACATCAAAAAGAGGAAAACATAGAAGGGAAGAAAGCTTATGGAAAAAGAGCAGAAGACACAAAACATTCCCAACACATTCTGCCCTCAGTTCCCTTACCTTGCATTGGATTCAAGCAATTCCAACCTTAATGGTCCTGCTATGTTCTTCCTCCTAACTTATCCTTAATGTTCAGCTTTCTTTCAGAGTTTTTTATAGTCTCTGGTGTAGACTACAAACTCCAATCCCTGCCTTTGCTTTCTCTTACATCATTTCTAAAGATTTTCCACTGATCCTTGCCCTAAACCTTTCTCTGTCCTGCACTCTCACACACATACTTGACTCACATTTGTTATATTTATTGCTGTGATCAAAATGATTAGGTTATAATTAAAGGTCTAGGGGTTTGTTTTGTTGTGGTTTTTTTCCTTTTTTTTCATTTAGTTTCAAGATTCAGACAGTCATGGGAATAGAAAGATTTTCAGCAGCATCACCATTCCTCTAAACTCTCACTTTTGTAAACTGCAGTACAGAAACATGATGTCCTGAGTTATTACTAAGGTTCATTTTTAAACTTAATGTTTATGGAAAAAGAGCAGAAGACACAAAACATTCCCAACACATTCTGCCCTCAGTTCCCTTACCTTGCATTGGATTCAAGCAATTCCAACCTTAATGGTCCTGCTATGTTCTTCCTCCTAACTTATCCTTAATGTTCAGCTTTCTTTCAGAGTTTTTTATAGTCTCTGGTGTAGACTACAAACTCCAATCCCTGCCTTTGCTTTCTCTTACATCATTTCTAAAGATTTTCCACTGATCCTTGCCCTAAACCTTTCTCTGTCCTGCACTCTCACACACATACTTGACTCACATTTGTTATATTTATTGCTGTGATCAAAATGATTAGGTTATAATTAAAGGTCTAGGGGTTTGTTTTGTTGTGGTTTTTTTCCTTTTTTTTCATTTAGTTTCAAGATTCAGACAGTCATGGGAATAGAAAGATTTTCAGCAGCATCACCATTCCTCTAAACTCTCACTTTTGTAAACTGCAGTACAGAAACATGATGTCCTGAGTTATTACTAAGGTTCATTTTTAAACTTAATGTCTTTGGGATATAAGGAGTACTGTATCAGCTTTGGAAAGAAATAAGTGTGTTTTTAGTACACCAAGCACCACTGTAAACTAAGCATTAGGAAAGGAGTGTGCTTTGTAAAGCAAGTGACAAGAACTAAACTTTATTTCTGTTATTGAAATGTTCAGCTGTTGAATTGTAAAGCATGAGCTGTGGAGATGCTTGTCTTTTCTAGACAGTACCAGAGGACTTATTTCTTTCCCTGTTTGCCTCCTTAGAATAAGTCTATCTTCTTTTTTGCCCCTTTTTAAAACTCTCAGGTTTTAATAGATTTGTGGAGCATTTTAGACCTGTTTTAGGGTTTAAAATTCTGATCAGTGCACACTCCTCAAGAGTTAATTCACAGTAATTTTATTCTCTAAATAGGTAGCCACAGTACTTTCAAAGTAGTTTTTACTCTGACTTGCCAGAAGCTGTTCCTACAAGCCATGGACAATATAAGGAAATTTGCAGTATGTGGGGAAAATTGCCAGTCAGGAAGCAAACACTTTAATTTCATTTGTCTTGGTCAAATTGATTAGAGAAAAATAAGAATTTAGTCATATTGAGGCAAAGCATCTTCCCCATCCCTGGGCATGTTCCAGGCCAGGCTGGATGGGGCCCTGAGGAGCCTGGTCTAGGGGAAGATGTCCCTACCCACGGCAGGGGGGGTGGCACTAAATGATGTTTAAGGTCCCTTCCAACCCAAGGTGTTGTGTTTCTACAGCATCTCTCAGTACAGACCAACGTGGGAATGTGGCCCAGAGCAGATCTGCAGAAACACTGCAGACACACAAATGTGTTTGCCACAGGAGCAGCCACACCAGTGTCAGGCAGGTTGGGACTTCTCCACTGCAGGTGTAACAGAGCACTGATGGCAGATGCAGAAGTCCAAATGGGCTCTGTGGGTACTAGAGGAGCAAGAGAATCAAAAGAGCAGAGCCAAACACCACCAGACTGCTGAAACACAGCTGAAAATGCTGCTGCATAAAGAGACTGTGGTCCATTTCACTACATTTAGGTGGTAGTTTGCTGCTGGAAGTCCAAGGACACAGGAGTACTTGATTGATGTGTCTAAAACAAGCAAGCAGGATCTCAGGAGAAAAAAATAATAAAAAACCCCAAACAATCTAACAGGGAGGTATTATTAGTTTGTGGGGTAACTTAATGACACATGACCACAAGGTGCTGCTGACTGGCTACTGCAGCTCCAGGCACTGTTCTTCTTTCTTCTGTTGGAAAGACACAAGGTGGCACTCACAGGTATTTACTCCTCTTGGGAGTTTTTACAGGTTCTATCTTAAGGTCTTCAAGCAGAATCTCTGCAGGACTCCATTCTGCCACCGTGCTGGTGTGGCTGGTAGCAGACCTGGGCTGTGACAGTAGGCTGATGACAGAGAGCTGAGTGCTGGCAGTGAAGGCGTTTCGGTGTTCCACAACACAGGGGAAAGTCTGGAGAACAGCTGAGACTCAGCCATCCACAACTCAGCACCTCACAAGAGTGAGGGAGAGGAGGGAGGACTGCAGAAAAAGCAGCAGGAGAAGTGCAGCCATAGTGTCACCTCCTTTGGCTCCGAGAGGATGTCTCAGAACCAGCATCAGAAATTTTCTTTTATGCTCACCACGGATCAGTGATGCTATAGCAAAGCTCCAGCTGCTTTTGTTCTACTTATTGGACCTATTCTGAGGCTGAGGTTCTTTCTTTAAGAAAAGTTATTTTCTATTTCACAATTTATCACTGTATCCTCCCTACAAAATCTGAAAGATTTCAGAAATGGTTGCTGATACACAGAACTATCATCAACTCTGACTAGGAGGTGTGAAGGGGTAATTTGTCATCTTCATGGGCAACTTCTGACCTTAGCATCAGACATTTTAGCAGCACATGTGTGTTTTCTCTCAGGGGGAAAAGAAACCCCAAAAAAGCAACCAATAAACAAAGAAAGCAAATAAGCGAACAAACAAAACAAAGTAAGAAATACTACTAATAAAGATGAATAGTTTTAACATTAAATTTCCTACTCTAAATTGACTTTCATTTATTAGCACCTTTTTAACACCTTCTAGTGAAGACTGCCAAGGAAGTTTCCCACACAATGAAAAAGGTATATGGTGGTTACTCTGCTGGCAGATCATCTAAGGAACAGATATCCTCAACAACATTGTGGTTTAATTACACTTACAATACAATTAAGTTAGAGCAGCCAAGAGTTTGGAAGGAGTCTTTATTGTCTTAACCATGAATGAATAAGCAAATATAATGTGATTTTTCTCAACTATGAAGACAGAAAAGAAAGAAAAAGGAAATTAGAGGAGGTAAGGACACAATACATGAAGCTCTTTTTGTTACCATCCAAGAGAAAGGCAAACTCACCTCCCTACTGCCCTCATGATCCCATAAGAATTTCTGTAAATCTTCCAACACTGGTTTGCAAATCAGTTGAGCTGGCTGTTTTCCTTAATTAGACAAGTTCTGATTCAGAGAGCAGGATCTTGGTTTAACATGGGAAAACAACACCACACTGAAGTCAGCAAAAGTGGATATTTTTCCAGGTTTGCAAGGTTTGCCCCAAAATTCTAAGAAATAATCCAAGTGCTTTATTTTTTCTTTTCAAATTTAAAACTATATTCCTTAGAATAAAGAGCTGATTTTCATGAGCCAGGTGCTCAGCTGATACTGATTCATATAGCTCTGAGATAAAAAAATGAGATATTCCAAATTACAGTGACTTCAATTTATTTTTACTTCTTGAGACAATAAACTTCAGATAAAATTGGCCCAATTCTGACACCAATCTGAAAGAGGAATAGCATTCCACCAGATTAATCAAAACATAGCATTTTACAGCTACATTATTGGTACAGGGAGAGCATCCAACATTACTTTTGTTGCATTTACATTCATATCTTGTCTGGAGAATGGAAAACATTTAAAAATAACCACCCCAGATTTTTAGTCAATACAAAAGAGAGAATTTCAGAAACCAAGCTAATTCCCATTTATTTACATGTAGATACACAGAGCAGAGAGTGGATGACTCCCTGTAAGACAGACTCTATATAAATAATGTGCATTAATTTTTTTCCAATAGAAGGTACATGCTACCTTGGAAGGAAAACCTATGTTAAGACAACTATTTTTAAATCTGCAAACGATCAAAGTAGGTTTTGCTGTGTCACTTCCATTTAAGATGAATCCTTGCAGCTAGATAGAGTTGGAGAAACAAAACCCACAAAGTGAAGGTAGAAAATAGCACTGAAGACAGTAACATTCTTTAGGAATGTTGGGCTTCCTACTAGCAATTTCTATATATGTACTTTTTAAAAGTCCTTTGTGCTGGAATTATGTGCTTGTGATAGGTGCTGGGTCATGACATGTATGAATCCATAAAAAGCTCTCAAAAAACAGAGCAAAAGTCCCAAAAAAGGACAGCTTCTTGAAAGGCAAGGCATGCTCTGATGCAGAAGGTTGTGTTTGGAAATAAAAGATGTTTTATCTCTGGTGCCCATGCCATTGGCTCCCAGCCCAAGATGGACGTGAGGAGTGGAGATGGCCAAGAAAAGCAACAGGACCTTTTGTGCTACGGACACAGCGGTCCATGAGCCAATGGACAAGGGGTAACAAAAACACACAGATGTCTCAGTGTACCAGGCAAATGGTAATAGTTCTGGGCCAGTGTCAGCCTGGTCCTGACTCAACTGGCAACACAGAAATGAAAACAGGTACATTGTGTTTCCATCCCCTCTAACTACACTCCTTGGAGTCAATGATAAACATAAAGATAACAAACTGGGAACCAGCCCTATCTGTCCGTGCTAGGAGTAAGAGTGTTGATGTTTTCACGCTGCCTTGTCAAAGACACGTGTGCTGATGGCTCCTGCCACTGAAACAAACTCCTTGTGGCCCATGAGCACTGGTGCCACAGTACACGAAGCACAGAACAGTGAAGGGTGCACCTTGGCTCCAGAGCACACACTTCAGCTCCAGAGCCAGGTACAAATGTGGCCATGCAGCACAGCACTGAATGTGCAGCAGCAGCTCAAATTTAGATATGC